TAACAGATACAGCTGTGAAAAAGATGGATGCAATTCCAGGCTGCATGGGGCAAGGCATTCCCAGTAGAGAGAGAGAAATATTAGTGCCAACCACAAGGCACTGGTAAGCCTTCATCTGGAACACTGCGTGCATTCTGCTCTCCCAAGTTCAACCTGGAATAGCTCATGGGATGCTCAGGGAAATGGGGGCTCTTAGGTAAGCAAACTGGGAGAGCTTAGCTTGCTCAGTGTAGCACAAAGCAGCCGAGAGGGGCTCTGGTTGCGCTCTCTCTAAATCCACCCAGGGGATAAGCACCAGGAATAGGGAAGGGCTCTTTAAGCTGGCACACTGTGCTGGCCATGGACAAATTCAGCCTGGAAATGACCAGAGGGGTGAATCTGGAGCCCTGTTCCTGTAGGAGCTGTGGGACCAATTGAAACCATGTCAGCAGAGAACTGGACAAAGCAGAGTGGGATTACGTGCATGTGGTAGTGGTGGGGGGGCAGAGTTTGGCAGCCCCCAGGGGCTCCTTCTGGTTTATCTTTTATGGTGCTAACCTCCCCAAGCTGTATTCTGCAGAGCTGTTGTTGCATTGTTTGACTCTCCTTCCTCTGAAGCATTGGAACAGCCCTGGCTGGAGATGGGGGAGGTCCAGGGCTCTGCGCTGGCACTGAGCTGTCTCTCTCGCTCAGATGCTCAGCTGGCTGGTTCTTGCTCACCTGCTCAGGTGCTATCTCATCACCATATGTGGGGTCAGGCAGGAATTTACCCCGCCCCTCCAGGTCAGATTGGCAGTGACTTTGGGGGTTTTGCCTTCCTCAGCAGTGCGGGTGCCAGGATTGTCTGAGTAGTTCTCAGTCATTTCCCCACCCTTGAGGGGCTTCAGTCCCTCTTTTCCTCTGTGTGTGGCATGGGACAGCCGAGTCTCCTGGGGGCTGGGATACTTTGGTTGTGGGTTAGTGTGCGGGGGCAGGGTGGGGTTGGTGGCCTGGGGCACACAGCTCAGACTAGATGATCTGGTTGGCCCTTCTGGCCTTAAACTCTGCCACTATGAGTTTATGAGAGTCACTGATCAGCAACGCTGACTCTCAGGAGAACCCCTGGTGGGAGATGCCTTTCTCTGGGGAGTCACTGAGGGTACGTCTACACTACAATGTTAATTCAAACTTAGTTCGAATTAGTTAATTCGAACTAAGCTAATTCAAACTAACGGATCCAGACTAAAAAACTAGTTCGAATTAGCGTTTTGCTAATTCGAACTAGCATGTCCACATTAAGTGGACCCTGAACCGGGCTTAAGGACGGCCGGAAGCAGTGCTGGCAGGGCATCAGAGAAGGACTTAGAGCGTGGAGATGCTGTCTCAGGCTAGCCAAGGGCTGTGCTTAAAGGGTCCCGACCCCCACCCCGGACAGACAGTTCTCAGGGGTGCCCCGCTTGCAAAGCAGTCCTGGCTTGGAGTGCCCGGAGTACCTACACTGGGCACATCACAGCACTCGGCCATCAGACCGGCTGCACTTGCTGCAGGCTGCCATCTGGGGAGAAGGGGCAATTGGGGGGCTGCAGGAGAGCTTCCACCCCCAGAAGCCG